GAGAGGAAGAGGAAAAAAGGAGGGTGGAGAGAGAGGTAAAGGGAAAAGCGTTAAGAGTAGTGTTTTGGAACGTAGCAGGACTGGGCAATAAGAATAGAGATTTCTGGAAGATTTTAGGGAAGTGGGATGTGATCCTGTTAATGGAAACATGGATAGAGGGAAAGAAGTGGGGAGAGGTGAGAGAGAAATTGCCGAAAGGGTATAAGTGGAAAATACAGGAGGCCAAAAGGAGAAATAGAAAAGGAAGAGCAATGGGAGGAATGGTTTTGGGCATAAGGGAGGGGATAGTGGAAGAGGAGGGGGAAGGGGAAGAGGAGGAAGGAATTATAACCGGAAAATTCAAATACGGGAAAGCAAGTGTGAGGGTGGTGGGGGTGTACGTGAATAAAGATATGGAGAAGAAATTGGAGGAGCTAAGGGAGTGGATGGAGGAGAGGGAAGAGGGGGTGAAGACAATAATTGGAGGGGACTTTAACGCAAGAACGGGAGGGGAAGGAGGAAGGATAAATATGGAAGAGGAGGGGGAGGAAGAGATAGGGAGAAGATCGAAGGACAAGAGGGTGAATGCAGAGGGAAAAAAGCTGATGGAGTGTTTGAGGGAAAGAGGATGGTCAATTTTGAATGGGAAAATTAGGGGGGACGAGCAAGTCGAGTGGACATACACGGGTAATAGGGGGAACTCGGTAATAGACTATGTGTTAGTGAATGAGGAGGTAAGGGAGGAAGTGGAGAATCTACAGGTAGGGGATCAAGTGGACTCAGACCATCATCCCTTGGTAGTGAAGCTGAAAGAAGGGAGAGGAAGAAGAGGAATAACAGAGGGAAAGAATAAAAAGATATATAGAGGGAGCTGGGATGAGAGGAGAAGGGAACAGTTTCGGACGGAATTAAGAGGAGTGGTAGGAACGGAGGGAAACGTGCAGGAAATGACGGAGTGTATGGGAGCAAGGATTAGAAGAGCGCTGGAAAAGATAGAGAAAGAAAAAGAAGGAGATAAGAAAGAGGGAAAAGAATGTGGGATAAAGAGTGTAGAGAAAAGAAGAGACAAGTTAGGAGAGCATTGAGGGCGTGGAGGGGAGTAAAAGGAGACCAAAGGTATAAAAGAGAAAAAAGGGAGTACAAGGAGTTGTGTGAAAGGAAAAAAGAGGAGGAGAATAGTAGATGGGAGAGGAAAGCGGAGGAGGCCAGAACGGAGGGGCAAGTATGGGAGATTGTGAATAGGGAAAGAAAAAAATGGAAAGGGATTAATAAGGATATAGGAATGGATGAATGGGAAGAATATTTTCGGAATTTACTAGGAGGAGTAGAGAGTAGGGTAGTTAAAGGGGAGGGAAGGGGAGGGAGAATGGAAGAGGAAAGTGTGCTGGGGAAAGAGGAAATTGCGTGTGTTGGGAAGGATAAAGGAAGGCAATGCAATGGGGGTGGATGGAGTGCCAGGGGAAGTATGGAAGTATGGAGGGGAGAAAGTGAAGGAATGGGTATGGAGAATGTGTAACAAGAAATGGAGAGGGAAGGGATGGCCAGAGGAATGGAAGGAAGGGGTTGTGGTGCCGATTAGGAAGAAAGGAAGAGGGGAGGTAGTGGAGGAGTATAGGGGGGTCACAGTAATGCCATCGTTGTATAAGGTATATGCGACGGTGTTGGCGGAGAGACTGAGGGTGGAGGTAGAGGTAGAAGGGATGATTCCACCGAATCAAACGGGGTTTAGAAAAGGAATGGGAACAATCAATAATATATATGTGTTGAATTATGTGATAAATAGGCAGATTGCGAAGAAGGGTGGGAAATTGATAGCGATGTTTGTAGATTTAAAAGCCGCGTTTGATTCGGTGGACAGGGGAATA